AGAATCAGGTAGAACTCAGTGTTTGTGATGTTTCTGTTTCCCTGGTTAGGGGAGCTAGAGGCTGTGGATGACCAACTGGTAGCATCAGCTTCTGTCTTACTGAGTGAGCACATCAGGTATGTGTATTGTGATCTCCACAGTGGAAAAAAAAAAAGTTGATTAAAGGATGTAAATGCATGTGTGTAGGGAATCCTTTTGGGAAAACAGTAAGAGCATGGTTTGAGGGCAAGCCTGAGCTGCTGCTAGGGAAGCCTCCTGAAATGGCAAGCTTAGCCTCTTTTTTCTTCTCCACAAGGGGCTGGTGAACTTATCAGATTTGTCCCTAAAGAGAGCTGAGGTCAGGTAGGTGTGTGGGGTGTGCCCAGAGGGTGGTGGCTGTGCAGGCCTGGCTTGACAGTGGATTGTGCTACTCCCTCCTTGGGTAAGCTGGGGCTCCAGAGGGATATTTAAATCAGGGCTCCATTCCATGTTCAGTGCAGAGAACGTTAGAGCTAGATCAAGGAGAAAGGCATTTATTACCACAGAAACAGACACCAGTAACCTCAGAACAGATGCCTTGGGAGAGTTGGTCTCCCAGAGGTGAAAGCTGCCTCTCTGTTCCTGATGCCACCAGGCCCTGGCTCCCCTGCTCTTGTCACACAGGGCACTAAGTAGCCTCTGTAGTTTCCTCTTCTCTGTGTCTCAAGGGAAGAGCTACTCCTTTCATATGCAGAAGCTTGTCCAATGGTGGCTCCTCACGCTTCTTAGATTCTAGCACTGCAGGCTCAGCTTCTTTATGAAGAAAACTACCCTTTCTGATGTCCTGTGTTGTCTACAAGGTACAGCCTTGGCCCGGGAGAACACCTAATTCAGTCACTCAGGCTAGCACTTGGGGTCCTCAAGAACAGGAAGTAAATGGTTAGAATGCTAGCCATGTGGACTATTTCTCCCCGTTTCTATTTTTCTTTTTATTATAATTATTTGAAGCCTCCTTTCCTTAGACCTACCTCCTAACTGCACCTAACTTCTCCAGTTTACTTCCAAAACAAAACAAGCAAACTCCAGTAGCCTTTGTTTCTTTCCAGTGTGGTCTTAACCCTCCAGGCATGCAGAACCATCCCTCCAGTGTCTCCTCCAGTGTGGACCCACCCTCCTGTGTCTCCCCCTGGCTGACCACTCTTCCTGGGTCTCCTCCAGTGTGGACCCACCCTCCTGTGTCTCCCCCTGGCTGACCACTCTTCCTGGGTCTCCTCCAGTGTGGACCCACCCTCCTGTGTCTCCCCCTGGCTGACCACTCTTCCTGTGTCTCCTCCAGTGCAAACCCACCTCTCTTATATCTCTTCCAATACAGACACAACCCTCCAGTGTAAACCTACCCCTCCTATGTCTCCTCCAATGTAAACTTGCCCCTCTTGTGACTCCTGTGTAGTCCTGGCCCTCCTATGTTCCCAGGGCAGACTCATGCTCCTGTTCTTCTTCCTCTTCATCAGCTTCTTCCCTGTGCTTGTTACTCTGCTGTTTCCTCTCCCCCTTGCAAGTGTGTTCTCACTTCTGCTCCTTCCCATTCCTGTCTTGAGCAAGAGGATTCTCTTCCATTCTGCAAACACCCTCTGGTTACCCTCGATATTAAAATAAAACCAGAAAATGTTTTTTTGACCACACAGAGTCTTCTAGCAGAATTCAAACCAGCTGTCTGCACTTTACTTTTCTAAATGTGTGCTGCCTCTATTTACAGTTTAGAGAAATATGAAGGTGTTCATGCCCACATGGACATCAGCTGTACATTGAGTATGTTTAGCCAATTTAGCCTTCCTCTTGTCAATTCTCTTATGATAGTGTCACTAGCCAGCTAGTGCCCAGACCTTGGAGTCCTCTTCATTGTCCCTGCCATGTCCTCACTGGCCACATCTGATCTGCCAGTAAGGCTTAGACGTTGAACTTCTGGCAAGTAACTTCCAACCTCTTCCTCGAATTGACTACCTCACATCTAAGACTCCACCACTCCTTTGTCTCCCCTAGGACACATTGCACACCATGCCTCTCTATGTGTGCTGAGTTATTTTATTTTATTTTATTTTGCTAGCTTGACACAATTAGGGTCAATCTGGGAAATTGTGAAAATGTTGCCATCAGATTGGTCTGTAACCAAGTGGGGCAGTTTTTTTGATCAGTGGTTGATATGGGATGCCCATCCCACTGGCACAGATAGTCCTGAGTTGCATAAAAAAAAAAAAAGCAAGCTGGGATCTGGAGAGATGGCCCAGTGGTTAAGAGCAGTGACTGTTCTTCTAGAGGGCCCAGGTTCAATTCCCAGAACACATGGCAGCTTGCTGCTGATGGAAACTACAGTTCCAGGAGACCCAGGCTTGGGAAAGTTCAACTGCTTTGCCTGAGCCAAGTGCAGGTGTGTGGAGATGTCTCATCCAGCCAGTGCCATCCCTGACCCGGGAGCAGGCAGAGCCTTCCCTGGCTAGACATGCATTGTACCTTCCAGGTTCCCTGGTTTTCATTGTTCAGATGGTGTCAGGACCTGGGGAAGGGACCTGACTACTGTGCTTCTGAGCTTTAGCATGGTGTCACAAAGCCCTTTGGAGGGTTTGGAAAAGCAAGTCTCCATTGCCTGGGCTTCCTGTACAGTCAGGCCTTCCTTCAGAGCAGCAGTGCTGGGCAGTGCCACAGCAGAGGCATCCTGTAATGGATGCCTCACATAGTTATTCCACGAAGAGAAGGGACTTATGAGTCACAGTGGAAAGGTTTCAGTTAGACCTCCCCTGACAGGTCTAACTGACATGGCATGGCATGGTAGGAGGCTGCGGTAGTAATACTGGTCACCTTTTGATGGACAGCTACAAAACAGGAGGGAGGTGGGGCATGCCTGTCAGTGACCAAGGCCTCGCCTCTCGAGGCACCTCTCAACAGCAGGCTTGTAACACCTGGACCACTGGGGAAGCACCTAGTGGCTATTGTTAGTGGCTATTGTTAGTACCTACTGTTCATAGTTTGTGATTATGGAGTTGTTGAAAACTTTATGACTTGGCTGGGGGCTGGTGTTATGTAATCTTTGCCCAGCAATTCTAGTCATGTCACACTGCAAGAAGTTGCCCGATGGATGAAGTACACTTTCAGCTGTCCTATGAGAAGAGAGCAGTAAGAGATTAGGTTCCCTTACAATGAAAAGGGAAGACATCAAGACCTGACTCAGAACTTACCCTCTGCCACCTAAAGGGGTCACTGGGGTATGAATGTCTTTTTCCTCATTAAGACATTGACAGGCCACCCACAGCCCTAGACAATACTGAGTTCATGGTCTCTGGCATAAAAGTCCTCGTCATAGGAGCCCTGGGGTATAGCTTTTTCTAACCTCATATGGGTTCCTTGGATGCTGCCATGGCCGTCATCTTGGTTATTACATCCCTGCCCAGTATCTAATCCTGACTCTATCACTGTGTCTGGAGATTGCTCTGCCTGCTGTGAGAGTGGGAATGTGAACTGTGAACATATTGAACCTGAGCATGGTCTGGGTGGTGTAGAGTTGGGCCTGGCAATGATGCCAGCACTCCATCTATTTCTAGCATGGCAGTGCCATGAAGACAGGGGTATTATGGCTGGTAGAGAATACATAGGCTGTGGTACCTGTGTATTGGGAACTGGACCTGGGCTAGGATTATCGAATCATGGTACCCCTTACACTGCCCATTTTCTGAACTGGCTCTCTTACTTTTTAAGGAATCTATGAGGTGCCAAAAGTTTTGAGTGAATTGAATCAGCCAAAGTATACTTCTGTTGCTTAAAACTAAGAAGCAGAGTTCTATAGAGAGACTGTGCTATAGTTATTTGAGGATCTTATTCATTTTCCAATTACCTGAGTATCTCCATGAGTCTCAGAATCTAACACAAAACAGACACTGGTTGAGGGATGGTGAGACCTGGACTCAGCAAGTCTCTCTAAACTGTGGCTCTGACCAGACTGCACTCTGTCTGCAGTACACCCTGCAGCAAGCAGCGTGGTCTCTGGAAGATGGAACCAGCCTTCACTTCTGGCCTCTTGCCCAGCATTTGCAGGTGCTCGGGAGGGTTTGGATGAAGTTACATTTGCCCAGAGCTTGCCATGATCACTGCTGTTCTTGCCCCCAATTACAAGTTGTAAATATGCACACTGTTTGCCTTAACTATTCGTGTGAGTGTGTGTGTGTGTGTGTGTGTGTGTGTGTGTGTGTGTGTGTGTGCATGTGTGTGTGTGTGTGTGTGCACATGCGCACCTTATGTTGTGTTTGTGGTGCATACATGTGAGTGCATGGTTATATATTACCCATATAGGCAAGATGGACAGGTTGCATAGGTTGGGAACTATTCCTGGGTAGACATGTATCTATTTCACCTGAGGGAGCCAATGATTGATGAAAGTGTTGATACCATCAAAGTCCACCTTAGTGAATTAAGTTCAGGGTAACTCACAGGAGCAGGGATGATGCAAAGGAAGCTGCTTTACCAAAATACCATCCAGCATGGATTATGACTCATGAAAAGTGCCCAACTTGCAGGCAGATCTGCAGGTTAGAGTCTCTCCAGGCAGCTCAGCTCATCTGGGCTTCCTCAGAAGTCCTTAGTGCATAGAGAGCCCTGGGAGAGGGCAGCCTTGTGCATCTGGTCAGTTTCAGGAATTCCTAACAAAATCTTAATGAATCTCCCTTAGAATTTCCTTAGGGTGCTTCCCTCCAGGATGGAATGTTTTCTACACAAAAGGAGACCAGAGCAAGAGAAGGGGATCTTCATCTATTGCTCTCTTACTGTCTTAAGGCAGTGTCGCTCACTGTTTGGACTATGCTGCCTGTCTCTATTCCAGAATGTGCAGCCATTCCTGGCCTAACATGTTAATATGTGGGTATTAGGGATCTGAACACAAGTCCTCATGTGTATCATGTTGTCACTTACCTACTTACCCTTAGAGCTGGGGACCGCTCTAAGATTTCTTTTATTTCCTTTGTTCCATTCCTCCCTGACTACAGTTGTTCTCCTTGCAGAGGCCCCCTGCCTGGACAGAGGATTGTGGTCCTTCCTCCAAGACCTCTCTGGGCACATCTTCCCATCATCATCTAGCAAAGATGCGTCAGCTCAAGGGAAAGCCAAAGAAGGAGACATCCAAGGACAAGAAGGAGCGGAAGCAGGCCATGCAGGAGGCCCGGCAGCAGATCACTACGGTGGTGCTGCCCACCCTGGCCGTGGTGGTGCTCCTGATCGTAGTGTTTGTGTATGTGGCCACGCGCCCCACAGTCACCGAGTGAGCACCTCCATTCCAGCTTTCCTCTGCAGAGACGCCTACAATGCCCAGCCCTGAGGAGGAGTGCCCATCTTCTCTGGTCTTTGACTTGACAAAAATTTCTCTACTTGTTTGGGGGAGGGAATTGGGAACATTTTATCAGTGAATGTGCCATACACCTGATGGTCCACTTCATGTGCCTTTCAGACTTCAAAACAGTGTGTGTGTGTGTGTGTGTGTGTGTGTGTGTGTGTGTGTCTTTTCCTCCTGAAATGATGCTGAGCTGCACCCGGGGAGCAGAGGCCTCTCTGGGTGAGGCTGTTGGAATCAGTCCCACCCTCCCTCCATTCCTGCAACATACTTTTCCTGCTCCCGTTCGCTCACAACTTTCTAAGAGGACAGCATTTCTTCTCTGTGCTTGATGGGATTTGTTGACTCAAAGTGAAATATTTATTTTTTGAATAAAGGAGATAATAGTCTTAAACTGGACATTTATCTTGTTTTTGTGTCCCTTGCTCAGGCCTTGCCTCTGTCTCTGCTTCCCTTCTCCTGGGGCTGTTTCCACCTCCCTTTCACTTGCTGCTATTCTACTTTGGAGGAAAAGGATGTATTTTGACTGGATGTTTATAAGGCTAAGAAGGAAGTCTAGAGAGGGACAAAGTGAGTGCTAACTGACCTCTTTTAGCTAAGAGAGTTCTCACTGGAGTATGACCACACATGCTTTCTGGCTGGTTAGCATTTCCTGTTGGATGCTATATTTGCAAATGGCAACACACCCTAATTCCTAGTGGTAAAAGGTCAGGCTAGCTTTTGTTCTTAGCTGATGGATGCAGGCTTTTGGCATTCCAGCTGAGTTTTAAATGCAAATTGGCTGAGCCTCATTGTATTGCAGCAGCAGACTTCCCAGGTTCTGGTGCCTGATGGAGCTGCCTCTTTGGAAGTCAGATCCCTGGTAACTGTGTCTCTTGGCTCCATCACTGCTGATTACAGAGAGATTTGCAAGGAGTAAAGGGCTTGCCTGTTATCAGTGGTGGCTGACAGCACAGATGTTACTGGATATTTGGAGACTATTGGAGAAAGAAAGCCTTTCTGGGAAAGAAAATGAAAGACTCCAACTGAAGTCTGGAGATGTGGACATGGGTGAGTGGCTTGGTACTACCTCCCACCCCAAGTGTCAGTGACCCTGTATAGAGATTTACTAAAACAATTGTCAAGTGTGGGGTTGACAAAGTGTGTGACAAAAGTTCTCAAGTGTGGGGGACTCAGAGTTCTGTTTTGAGTCTCAGTGCCTGGTGGTGTGAGAGAGATGGAAGGACACAGCCCCAAGGCCCCACTCAGGAGTGGGAGGGAAGGCTCTGTAGCCATTCCCGGTTTTCCACAGTGGCACTAGGCTGCTGGCTGTCCCTCCTCCCACAGGAGATGTCTTGAAGTCATGGCAAGAGCAGCCTTCCCACCAAAAGAACAAGACCTGCCTATGTCCTATGACCTGGTCTGTAGTTAATCCTTTGCCCATATACAGGGGTTGTGTAGCCACACTGGGCCTTGGTTTCTCTGGGAGCAATTTCTAGAACACTTTAGGGAGATGAAACATCTAGTGGAAAATGAGGTTTTATAGTAAGCCTGAGTTCAGACCAATTGTGCTGCTAGAACCTGAGTTCATGTCCTGTGGCAACAGTGACAATGGTTGTTATCCTCTCTCAGGGTAGTTGTGAGGATTGAATTACAATAGTGCAAAGGGGCACAACCTCATAAATGTCAGTACCCACTTCACTTGTACTAACACATTTTCTTTTCATGCAGCTATCTGATATAGGTGTTCATCTTTATCAAAGAAGAGGCCAGGAAGTCCAGGCCACACTGTGTCACACTGCAGTGGCAGGGAGGGGCAGTCCAGGAAACCATGTCACACTGCAGTGGCAGAGCCTGGCAGTCCAGGAAACTGTCACACTGCAGTGTCAGGGCCTGGCAGTCCAGGAAACCAGGTCACACTGCAGTGGCAGAGCCAGGCAGTCCAGGAAACCATGTCACACTGCAGTGGCAGTGCCCAGGTCTGTTGTTTTCTTGTGTTTTGTTATGGGAGATTTTAGACACAAGTAGGAAGAATGTATGAGCCTCCTCATGGCTGAGGAGTGTGCAGTCATTGACAGGCTTCCAAAGACACCAGCACACAGTGGTGGCGTAAAACCCACAGCTCTCACCTTGAAGGGGGGGGGTAGGATATTTTTTTTTTTCTGGAGCCAAATATGAATGACCATGGTCCCAGAATAGAGATTTAATTTACCCCAAATTTTATGTTCCAACATAAGAGTTTTGTGAGGCTTTTATAGTAAGAGAGCAAAGAAAGTCATCAATCAAGATATTTTCTAAATACACTGGTAGGAACATCAGGTAGGCAGGTTATAGCAAAGCCTGGTATAAGCCTTAGATATACCTGATGACATTTTTAGCCTTTGGTTTGTGGAAGCTAGCGACCTCTTTAGACATCTTAAAAAGATGGGTCTAACACCGTGTTAGATTATGTATAGAGGAGGGCAATAAATGCTCTTCAAGGGTGCCAAGATAGCCCAAGATACTTGTCTCAGAGCCAGCAACATTGTAATATCTTCACAAATGTTGAAGTCCTAGTCAGTCCAGTTTGTAGAATGTTCCAGATAGTTCTCTTTCTGGAAACTTTAGTTCTTATCTTCAGTAACTTAGCTGTTGTCTCCGTCAAAAGAATTCACACAAGACCCACAGTGTACTGAAGAGGATGGGAAATGTTTGCTATAAAAGGGACCCTTTCTAGAAGGGTTGGTGGGCAATGGCCTATGCACCATTGTGCTAACCTTCACGTTTAGGTAGGCTTTCCTGAGGGTTGTTTTCCTGTCTGGGTGATTGACAAGCTTACTTGAATCAACTCTGGGCCAGTGGTATGTATGTCTTTGTTCTTCACAGTATGCCTTCTCTTCAACAGTAACTGATCCCATTCTTCTGGCCAGCAGTCAGGGTCCTGAAGTTTGAGGTCCCAGTTTATCAAGCTGGGATTCTGAGGAAGGGGTCCATGCTAATGAGCCTCAAGCTACTATCTGACTAGCTACCTACCAGAGGAGGCAAACCTTGGAGGACCAGCTCCAGAGGCCATAATCTCCATTATAATCTCAATGTATTCCCTCAAATCTACATCGCCTCATGTGGTGATAGAGACTGTGCAGTGTCTTAGATGCTGTTAGAGGATGAGTTCAGTGTTCCTACAGGGCACTTAATAGGGCATGCTCATAAGCCATCATCCAGGTGAATAGGAGCCTTGCCCAGGAGACATCAAGAGAGTCTGTCTGTTCAGTGGGCTCCCATTTGTGGTTTCTTTGACATACAAGATTGTGAGTTATCTTAAAAGCATGCGTTTTGGACAGCAAAGGTATTTGTGGATCAAACCCACTCCTTGGCTTTCCAGCTGAGCAGCCCACAGCTGAGCTCTGGGGCTCCACATTTGCTAATTTTGCCACTGAGATGATAGGAGGATAAATTGAAATACAAAACCAACACAGCATCCTACCCAGTACATCATAGCAGACCCTTGTTGGTGTGTTCAGAACCTCATGCAGTCCTCCTCCCAGGCTTTCCTAGCAACTCAGATCCCAGAATACACATGTGATGAGCCCATCACATGCTTTTGAGTCTTGCTTGCCTCCATGTTTTCCTCTTGTTCGATGGAAGGACATGTGGACTTGAACTGGATCTGCAGAGTCAATGACTAGACAGGCTCAGTGAAGGTGGGCTGAAAGTGGACTTCTGAGGTTAATACAATCTTGCTGTGGGCCACCTCCTAGCTGGCATAAGATGTTTGTTTACTGTGGTTCTGTTGGGTAGAAGCTTACCCGTTTCAGGGTAGATGGTGCTCTCTCATGTGCGTGAGTTGGTAATGAATTGAAGCACTGGCTTCTAAGTTAACCCAGGTACTCAGTGGCTTTGTGACGAAATGGAATGATTTGTTAGGCATGTCAGAGAGTGGTACTGGGATTTCTGCAGTGGGATATGGGACTCTTGGTGTTCAGTCCTCATTTCTGACCATGTTCCAGAATAGAAATCAGGTTGAAACCAGGAATAGGAACCATCGTGGTGGGTATAAATGGTGTCATTTGTTGTGTTTGTTTTAAGTCAATATTACTCTGTGTTTGCTTACCCATTCTTTGGCTAAGCAAAATCTCAGTGACCCATCAGTGCAGTTGTTGGGGTGTGAAGCTAAGAATTCAGACCCAGTCTTCTCTCAGGGTGACACTGGCCAGTGTCTGTGTAGGTATGTCTGACTGTAGATTCTCATATAACCTCTGGTACCCTAGAGATTCTGGATGTAGCATCAATAAAGTTCCTGCATGAGTAAAAAGTCATGCAGAACTCAGGAAACCAGCAGCCCTGAAAATGGAAGCTTCCAGGGAGCCTGCAAAGCCTCTCCACCTGCTCCGTGCTGTGTGGCTGCACCAGCTACTAATGAGTCTACACTGGGGAGAGCAAGGCTCAGTGTGATGGGTTCGGAGGTTGCCTCATCTAATCCTCCCCCCCTTTGCTAGTTCAAAGAGTGATAGGCATGCACTCCTCCCTGCTTCCTGCCAGCAGCCAGGCTCATCTGAGCATTGGAGATGCTGACACTTGCCTTGGGTTGTTGGCAACATTAAACAGATGGTTCTTATCCCTGCACCCCTGTCCCCCAGAGGATCTTAAACCATCATTTACTTGGTAGAGGAGAGAAGAAGGAAGTGTCTTGGTTATGTCCACCATCATGTGTGTCTGCATCCTCTGCAGCTGTTTGTTGACGCTGTCCCATGTGGTGTGTCTCCTGCCCTCACCAGGAATGTGGTTTCTCTCTGTAGGAGCCATGCTGATTCTGTGTTCTCCATGGTATTTTCCACAGACTGCAAATAGCAGATATGAGATAAAATATCTTCATATTAAGAGACTTTGTGAGAGCTACCTTCTAAGTCCCTCCCAAATGTCTTCAGGAAGAATGGAGATGCTTAGGGCTTGGAGGTGACTGTCTCTGTCCTCACATTTCTGATGTTTGGAAGAGCAAGTGTGCTTGTCTGACTAACTTGCCATGCCTATTCTGATGAGCCCTGTTTTCTTCTGATGAGTTTCTTGTGTAGTATCTTGCCTTCCACAGCAAACTTCTTTGACATTAGTATATATCAGGCGCTGCCCTGTGTTATTTCTCTGCCTGCCAGTTCTTTATTTAGGAAAGAACAGCCTTTTCAAAAAGCTTTTAATCCCTTCTAAGTCATAAGCACTGTGGATTCCAGAGAGCTCCTGAATGCTTGGTAAAACTGGTAAGACTCTGGCTAAGCCTCTCATCTTCCCTTGGCATTTTCCTCCCCGCTGTTTCATAAAAGTTGGGTCTTTGAACTCTCCCAGCAGAACATTTTTTCCAACTTCTGAATATTCCTTTTCCAGTATTGGTCACTTGGCTGTTTCAGAAGGCCTGTTACATTTCTGGGATTAGACCTGGTTCTCAAGTTACC